AGATAATGGCATGGACCAGATCTTCAACAGAATCGTGGAAGAAAATTTCCCAAAATTAGAGATATGCCCATACAAACACAAGAAGCATATACAACATTGAACAGACAGGACCAGAAAAGAAACTCTCCACAGCACATCATAGTAAAAACACATACAAAACAAAGAGACAATTCTGAAAGCTGAAAAAGAGAAACAAGTAACATATAAAGGAAAACCCATTAGGATTACAGCTGACTTTTCAATGCAAACTATGAAAGCCAGAAGAGCCTGGACCAAAGTAGTCCCAGTTTTAAATGACCACAGATGCCAACCCAGATTCCTATACCCAGCCAAAATGTCTATTATAGTCGAAGGGGAAAAAAATATCTTCCACAACATAAACAGGCTGAAGGAATTCATGTCCACAAAACCAGCCCTTCAGAGTTCTGGAAGCAATACAAAGAGCCGAAGAAAGGAATGACTATACCCAAGGGACTGTGGAAAAAATCCAATGAAGGTGTAATGTTGGAAAAGTACAGCTACATTAAGAATGTAAACAAATAAAAATGACAGAATTTAATACTCATCTTTCATTAATAACTTTGAATATTAATGGACTGAACTCCCCAGTCAAAAGACACAGATTAGGTGAATGAATTAAGAAACAAAACCCATCTTTTTGTTGTCAGCAAGAAAATTATTTCGCTTTCAAGGACAGACACTAGCTCAAAGTGAAAGAATGGAAAAAAATATACCAAGCAAATGGCACTAAGAAAAAAGCAGGCACAGCAATCCTAATATCTGACAAAATAGACTTTAAACTGAAAATAACCAGAAAAGACAAAGAGGGCTATTTCATTTTGATCAAAGGAACAATCAATCAAGAAGATATTACAATCATGAACATATATTCACCAAACTCTGGTGCACCCAACTTCATAAAAACAATACTACAGGACTTTAAGACCCAAATTAACCCCAACTCATTAATAGTAGGGGACTTCAATACCCCACTATCTCCATTAGATAGGTCAACAGGCCAGAGACTTAACAGAGAGACATCTGAATTAAACAAAACCATATATCAAATGGACTTAACAGATATCTACCGAGTATTCCACCCAAACACCAAAGGACATACTTTCTACTCAGCACCCCATGGAACTTTCTCCAATATCGACCATATACTGGGGCACAAAACAAAGCTCAGCAAATACAAAAAGATTGAAATAATTCCATGCATTCTATAAGACCACAATGCAATAAAGCTTACAATCAACACCCGAAAAAGCCCTAATCAACACATGAACACACGGAGATTAAACAACACACTCCTGAATGATGAATGGGTCAAAAGAGAAATTAAGAAAGAAATAAAAGAATTCCTGAAATTAAATGAGAAGGACAAAACAACAAGACAAAACCTCTGGGACACGCTGAAAGTGGTTCTAAGAGGGGAGTTTATAGCTCTAAGTGCCTACATCAAAAAAACGGAAAGAACACAAATAAATGACTTAACATTGCAACTCAACACACTTGAAAAACAACAGCAAACGAAACGCAAACCCAGCAGACAAAAAGAAATAACAAAAATCAGGGCAGAAATTAATGA